TGTATGTAAGAATTTGTGCTTTCTTTCATTCTTGCAGCTCACATCATGTGCTGTGGTACAGTGGATGGATAGGCAAAACTAAGGTCATCACATGACTCACTATCACTGGGTGAGGAGCCCTGGAGAGAGATCATCAGCTTCACCTGAACCTCAAGTTCTGTTAGTAAGTTATATGATGAAGTTTATGGCGCTACAGTGACTCACTGTCGCCTCTTGAGGAACAGTGGTAATACAAGATGAGACGGACAGTTCAGGACATCTTGCACCAGTTACACTGTGAACCTTTTTATGGAAATCTGCAGTCACTTATTTCTGCCCCATTAACCCCAAAACCATTCTGTTCAAAGGAATGCATTGTATATATTGGGTAAACTTCAAATAAAGGGCTGATTTGTTTTAGCATTTGTAAGTGTCCTTGACTTTTAGTTTTAATTCATATATATGTATTAGGGGAACCTGGATGAAACTGGTGCAGTATAATGGAACAGGCCTGCAGTAAATCTTCCTTCATGAGGATTATAATATTCGGTATTTATAAGATGGCGACGTCCATTAAGCCAAACTCGAGGATTCAAAACAGCAGTTCACAAACCAATGGGTGTCGTCGCGGCAGTTTGCCACTTGGTTGTAACTGGATTAAAGGTGGACGGCACAAAATGCTGAACTGCACTCATGGTCATTTCTGTAGACGTTTTTGTTTGTGTCACGTTGGTTTCATTTACTTTAGAAACGGCAACAGAGACACTTTGATCTTATGACTGTGGTTTGAGAAATCAGAAGAAATCTCAAAAGTGTTTCATTCATTTCTCCTAGACAACTATTAGATCTGAGAGAAACCAAAATTAGACCACGGCTTATTTCTTCTCTCTCTGCTTTTTGTCGAGGAGAAAAAGATTCAAAATCTCAAATGACTCTCCTTTTAAGTTTCAAATGAGATCTCATCAAGCTCAGTCAAAAATGATTTAAATGGCAGGACCAGCAGGTTTGTGTTGGTCTCCAGTTGATCACTGTGTAAACGGAGGCTCAGCTCTCACATCACACCTTTCCCATGATCAACCATCAGCACCATGAGGAAGTTTTAATATCAAATCTTCTACAGTTTCATTTACTTTGTTATCCGTCTTCGACTGGGCTGAGGAGAAATTAGTTTACGAGCCGCTTTGTCCTCCATCAGAACACAACAGTAATAAACTCGTTAACAACCTGCTTCTGGAGAATTTAACAGTGTTTGTCAAAAGATTAATCTGTGACTCACATTTACAACCAGACAACCTGCTACTGACCCACTGCTGCAGTAAACATGACATCACATGAAATCCAGAGTGAAACACCAGTAGTTGATGAACTTTTCGACATCAAAACGGATGATTCTGGTAAACTGCATCATCATCGTCGTCATCGTCTGTTTATCAGGCACCAAAGACGCCAAAAAGCAGAGACAGCTAAAGGAGGAAGGAGATTCAAATCTGCTGCCAGCTGAGTCTTACACCAACTACACACAGGTTACATCCTGTAATAAAGTCACAGTCATCAATAATGTGAGTGCGTTTTAAAACAATATGCACGTGTGAAATTACTGAACTGAGCAACAGTTGTAGTGGTGACCTGAAACACACCTGTAACCAAAACCTCACAGGTTCGAACCCTCACACCAGCTAGGGGAAATGACAGAGCTCTCATAAACTAGATAAAGGTAAAAAAAACAAACAGACTGCGACCGACACGTGCTGTTTGCATTCACACATAAATCTTCTGAAACTTTTCCACAGTAAACAGTTTTATCAGTTTGATCCACAAAGATAACGGAGCAATAAAGGTCAAAGTTTAGATGTTTTTTCAACTAAAGGGCTGTAAAACTTTTCCACCATTGTGTTATTAGTGCTGTAAGTAGCTTAATTATCTCCATGAGGTGTGTGTCAAACTGTCGGCCATGTTGGTAACCAGGTACAAACTACAATAACTGGCTTGCCATTGTTCACAGCACCACAGTATGCACCTGTCTCTTTCACCTGGCGTCACTTGAACTGTCCCGACTGATGAATGCTCCACTATGTTCTCCAGCTTGTCTCCAGATGTGTCTGTCTGTCCTTTCGGTGGCGATCTGAGGAGTGCGTTTTGGTTTTTAGAGCTTTTACTCTAAAAGAAAGTGAGAGCGAACCAGAACAGTAAAGCTGTGGACCCGGACAGATAAACAATATGAAGCCGTGTGAAGCCGAGGGGGAGCTGCAGATTCAGGTTATAATTTTCTGTAGCTTCATCACTGTGAGTCTCTTGACACGCCGCTATTATAAAAACAATTATAGTCACTTAGTTTTAGAGACATGTTAGTGTTGAATGAAATTAGATCAGTCGTCGTCCAGGTCGCTAACACCTGGTCACATTAACAAAACACTGTTCACCTGGAGGAGTGGAAAACTGACCTGCATCAGAGAAGGGAGGGCGGGGGATGGAAGGTTATATACAGGTTTCTCACATGACAATGGCTAGTCAGGTCATTCAGTTTACAACACTGAGGCGTAAACAGGTGTGTGTGTGTGTGTGTGTGTGTGTGTGTGTGCAGACCGATGTACTTCTGTCTTTGTGAGGACCAGTCTGACTTTTAGACCTTGACATAAGGACATGTTGCCTGCTCATCACCTCTTTAAAGAGCAGTCAACTAAAGGTCAAGGGTCAGATTAAAGTCGGATTAAAGACGTTGCTGTGAATGTTAAAGGTTCAGTGCTGGAAATGAACCAGGTCGTTCGACTGTCAATCCACCACATCCAAAGATAAATGACACCATATTTATACGTTTAAAAAACTGCACATTGAATTATTTTTATCACATACGTTCGTTCTGACACATGATGTTGACGTATGTAAATGACTCAGAGCTGCGTTCTTCATATGTTCTTCTTCATACGATATCTCAGTAACGCTTTGAAGGAGCTTCTTCAAATGTGGCACAAATGTTCACTCGGACTCAAGGATGAACTGATTAGATTTTGGTAGTCAAAGGTCAAAGGTCAAGGTCACAGTGACCTCAGAAAACGCTTTTTAGCCATTACTCAAGACTTCAAGCAGCAATTATGACAAAATTTCACACAAATGTTTAATATTTTATGACTGTGGATAAACAGGGATGTAACCTGAAACTAGTCTGAGTGGCGGAGGGATACAACCACGAGGTAACTCTAGTTTCACATATACAGCAGCGCTGCTCAGTCCTGCCTGTGACCGGAGTTTAATGAGTGAAATTGGCGGTCTGCCCCTTTAAAAAAGTTATCATAGCCTACATCACAGACTGGCAGGAAACAAGCTCCACATACCTGCGCTGGATGAAACTGTATAATTGAGTATTATGTGTCTCGTCCTGTGTGTTCAGTGCTGGATTATACTGTGTGACTTGACTTCAGACCCAAATATACTGTAACGCCCACTCTGAGGCAAAACACCAAATCAAATGACCTAGATAAAGCTGCATAGACGTTATGATATACTTAATCACATGCTGTATCTGTGTGCCGTCACTGACGTGATATATCAGAGATCGAGTCAGGAGGAAGTGACTCAGTGTGCAGGATGGTTACTGATCAAAGCTTCCTCCTTTGCCTTGTTGGTGACCTGAATGTTTTTCTCCACATAATCCTTTTATTTCTTCCCAGAGAATTTATTCAGTATGAGCCATAAAGAGCTTAGAAAAAGAACAAGGTTTGTTTTCCAGTGTGTTTGTGTGTGTGTGTGGTTTCCCAGACATCAGTTAGTCATTGTGCTAAGTAAAGCCCCAACACCTGCTGCAGTGGATTTACAGTACAGAGACAACGGAGAGGGGCAAGATACAGTAAATACACCACATGGCCAAAAGTATGTGGACACCTGAACGCCAAGATTGTTGAACGTACGATTCCAAAACCACGAGCATTACAGTTTTTAACAACTGGTAAAACACTTGTGCTTCTTTATACTGAGCTCGCCTCCTCTAACTTGTTAACACAGTTACAGACAAGATAAGATCTTCCTTTATCAGTCCCACGCTGGGGAAATTTGTAGTGTCACAGCAGCAAAGTGACGGTACAAGAAACTGCAAAATGCCTGTGACAAACACTTAGAAAGATGAATAATAGATATGAATATAACGTATACAAGATTTAAAAAAGGAAAAATTTACAAAATAGCAAAAGAAAAGCAACTAGCAGCACATTAATCTCACATCCAAAATACACTATTACAGTGATTCTTTATTATTTAACTTATTACACACTATATCAGACTATACCTTTTACTATATTATAGATTAAATACTATATTGCTGTACTAAACTGTCTGTCATTAGTTATACTATATTATTCCATACAATATTATGTCTATGTGTTACACTGTTTTGTTACATCACAGCTACTCAGATGTATGCTGATGGTACGACATTAGTCTTATTATATGAACTATAGCTGCTACTAAACACACCACAGTGTAGTTCACTTGACACAGTACTGCAGCAGTGGTTTAAGTGCAACACTGGTCATGGGAACTGTATGATATTGCTTTATTGAAAAAGCACCAAAGTTGTGTCCACATACTTTTGGCGACATCGTGCACCAGACATAGAGAAAAGCACAGATACACAGAGCTGTGTGGTGCAGTCTTTGCCAGGAAGACACAGAGCGAAAGGAGTGCATCAGACTGATGAAGAGACGTGGTGCAGCAGGTTTCACCTGCATCTCACGTTCAGCTGCTGCCTCCTACTGGTGGCTGGTGGAAGTTACGCAATCTTTCTGAGCGTAATCACTTGTGTTAGAAGCAGATTAAATCGACACCTCAGTTCCTGAACACAGTGGTTCAGGACAGTGCGCTGCCCTCATCAGAAAAATAATTTCTTATCATTTTAAAGTAAAAATCCCCAAAATTTGTGAGTTTCAGCCTCACAAACATGAAGATTTCCTCTATTTTTGGGTTTAAAAATCATTGTTCAGACTTAACAAGCGTTGAAAAGAAAACATCTTTGTCTGTGAGACCATGTTTTACTATTTTATGACATTTTGTAGATTAAAAGATTAACTGATTAATCAGCAAAGCATTTCGCAGATTAAAAGATGATAGAAATAATCATTAATTTGAGCCCAAAATGTCTGTACAGTAATACACATGATCAAATGTGTATTACTCAGGAAGGCAGGAGTCAGTCCATCATCGAACAATCATCCTCAGCAGAACAAACAGTTTCCATTTGAGCATTTAATTCACAGTGATCATCATCCAGCTCAGTGCACAGTCAACAACATGAAGACACACAAACATCTTAAAGAGATTAAAAGGGAACCGAGGACTCTGAGGACAGAGTCTGACAAACTTCACTAACATTTCCCTGTATTTCCTCCTGCCGTTAGCATTTGAGAATTTTACTTTTTTAAAGTCAAGTAAGGAGACCTTTTAAAAGATTAATTGATGTTTTTCTTCACCTTTGTTAATTCAAATATTTTCTTACATTAATTTTGAAAAACTCACAGTTCATTTTTATTTTTAATCATCATTGCTCCTTCAGGTGTTTTGTACTTCAACTGACCTGGAGCTCAGTTTCATGTGCTGCGACATGAGATGACATTTTCTGATCTGACCTTAATTATCTGGTGAAGGCGATCAACCAAATCTAAAAAGAACATGTCCTGGTTTCTCCTTACACGTCGGACAACAGTGCATCATCTCCAGTGTTGAGCTGTTTTAACTCGGAGCAGACTGGAGGTGAATCCCAGAGGTGGGATCAGGAACAGAAGACGTGGTCCCTCGGACGCTCGGCTGGTCCAACTACTGACAAGGCTGATGATTACAAGCCTGAATCAAGTTCCCAAAGTTAAAAACACACTTGGCACAGGACCGACCAGGGCACATATACCCATCGATTATGCTCTCATCGATTAACCCCATCACGTTTTCGTTAGATAATCATTAAATGAAGCCTAAATGCTATCGAGACCCGACATAGTGACTGTCACAGGTGTTGATTTGGTTGTTGATGTTTTTTCATTTCATTTTTCTTTTTCTAAAAATGAATCCATAACTTTTAGTGTCCCTGAGCAGCAGGTACAGAATGAACAAAGAAAAATGTTTCCGTGTTCAGCCTTTAGGCATTTACTTGATGATCTCATCCAGTGAAACTGAAACCCCCAATTCTGACGAAGAAAAACTAATTTTGACACTCAGAAATTCCCAGTGGGTGTGTGTGTGTGTGTGTGTGTGTGTGTGTGTGTGTGTGTGTGTGTGTGTGTGTGTGGGGGTTTCTGAAATGCAGTTAGTCACTAAAGGCTGGAACAACTGTTCAGTGAGATAAAGACAGAAAATTAACACAAATACATTTGGATATTTTTTCCTTTGTCAAGAAGTAAAACGTCAAGCATTCCCTGGTTCTAGCTTCACAACTGTGACAATTTCCTGCTTTTCTCTGTTTTCCATCATGAATCGAAGTGAATTAAATATTTATTATACAGTGATGGAAAAGAGGATAAATACTAATAAAGTATTTAGAAGGCCCAGTGGCTCCGCGCCTCAGCAGTGCAGTAACCAGCAGCAGTGAGGAGCCCAAATCAACACCTGTGACCAGTTTATGAGAGAAACTTCCAACCAAGTAAATGTTGTATTCCAACATAAATGAGATTAGTGTTCCAGTGCATGTGAACATTCAAACTGGAGGTACCGTGTCTAACCAGCTCCTCTGAGCAGCAGGTAGACAGCAGAGATGGTGATGGCGGTGGCGGTGTAGGCAAACACAGCATTATACACAGTGTTTGTCCTGATTCTTTCTCCCAGCGTCCTCTGGGTGTCCTCAAGACGCCTCAGCACCACCTCAGATTCCCACTGGTCCCCTCTCTCTGCTCTCTCTGCTCTCTCTGGTCTTGCTAACGGCAGCTCACCTGCCTGTGTGTCAGCCTGTGGTGTGGTGTCCAGCAGCCTCTTCACCACTGACAACTCACTCTCAACTCTACCAAGTCCTTGCTCCAGCTGTCCCAGTTGTGGCGGGAGGGACTCCAGGAGGGACTGTGTCCTTTGGGTACCAATGTGGAGGTCTTTTAAGGCAGAAAGAGGCGTAGTGGCTGCGTCTGGTGTTGGACCTCCCTTGCCCTGAAGGACGCCGCCCCTCTTTGTGAAGGCATCGGTCAGAGTGACCCTGAGGCTGTCGATGAGCATCCGGAGCTCGTCCTGCTGGGAGCGATGGTTTCCAGCCTGGACTTTGAGGGCTTCCTGCAGGCTCTCTGGACCTTTCTGGGCCTCCAGCAGCAGATTCTTCAGCTCCTACACATGAAAGAAGTGAAGATTCATCAGCTGAAACCAGGGCTGCACAATATGCAAAAAAAAAAATCATATTGCGATTATTTTGTCACATATTGCTTTTGTGATTTCAGTTTGGTCGTTTTTACATAAAAATAATGATGAGTCCACATCAAACTGCTCTAGTTCAACCAAAAACTGAACTACTGAGCCACGACCATGTCATCGACCCTCCTCACCTGAAGGCGGACACGGTTGACGTAGGTCGATCCCATGACTCCGATCAGAGCTCCGAGCACCGAGCCGATGACGGACCAGTTCTTGGTCCGTTCCGCTCTCGTCCTCTCCTTTTCGTGGCTCTCCCTGACGGCTGCTGAAAACAAGGCAAACTTCTCCCTCTCTGTACCCTCAGCGCTCTCATACGCTGTCCAGAGACGACGCTCCTCCTGCGGTCAGGAGAGAGGGACGGGGACAGGAGGCTTGATTTGAATTCAATTCAATCGGCTGACCTGTTATCCCATAACCAGGTTCATTTTTTAAATATTATTATAATTGTATGATTAGTCAGTGGCAGGTAATGTGCCACTGTGGCTAACTCTAGATATTATACTTCAGAATAAAAGTACTTCCACCTCTTCTTCTTCTGACAAACTATCTGGATCTCTAACACCATAAAACCTCAATCAACCATACTACAGTTATTGTACCACCTGTTTAATGTGCATTTTCATTGCTTCAGCTGACCTGCAGCAGTTTGTGTTCCAGCGTGGCCAGCTCCAGGTAGTGAGTCTCCTCCCTGGACACTCTGTCCAGCCGGTCTCGGACCTCCTTCAGCCTAACCTGCAGGGCCTCCAGGCTAGTATGAGCCTCGCGCACTATTCCTCTGGCCACCATGAACGCTGCCTCAGCCTACACGACACACACACACACGCAGGCACGCACGCACGCACGCACGCACGCACGCACACGTCATGCAGCAGTTCTCCTCAACACTTGTAAACAGACTTTGATGTGTAACATTTTTAAACAAGTGTTTTAAAGAGGTGCTGATTCAGCATCATGGTCATTTAGGAAGCTCTAGTTTGTGGTATGGTTAAATTGTACTAAAAGGTGATTCTCATATTTTGTCTCCCCCAAAATATCAGTGTGGGTGAACTAAACTTGGAAGTTGAGGTGCTTCTTACTGTCTGCTGACCTCAGTGACCTTGGTTTGAGCCGTGCGGACCTCGTTAAGCCCGACAAACTCCTCGTACCTCTCCCACCAGTAGTTGACTGTGGCAGTGGCCGTTTGAGCCGACCTCTGACCCCACTGCCGCCCCAGCTCTCCTGCACTCTAGAGGAGGGAGAGAAGGCAGTGCTTCAGTTTGGTTCTGTGTTTTTATTACAACATTGTTAATACAGTTCTAATAATTCAGTGATTATCAGCATGTTGCCTGTGCTGTCTATAGTCTGGAAAGTTGTCATTTCCTGTACCTGTAAGGCAGCCACGGCGCGCTCCTTCGCTACCTCAGCTCCTCCCTTCCCATTAGGAGGTGCTGGGTTCGTGGGTGGAGGGGAGCTAGGCTGATGGTGAGCACTGTAGGTTCGGACCAGAGGGATTCTGACAGAGAGAGATCCAGGCAGGAAGAGGCGGGACAGACAGCATGAGCCATGAGCCCAGAGAGAGATCCGTGCTCCTCTGTACCTGATACAGTAAAGATACTGTCAATCATCAGCTTTGGTGCTTTATTTTATGTAGAGCCACACATAAAGCTCCCGTCTCCCCTGTACTGGACTAAATTGTGCAGAAGTACCTCATTGAGAAGGGCAGCAGACAGAAGTGCAGCTTGAAAACTGTCAGAGCTTCACTTCTACTGCAGCTACAGAGCTAACACTGGAAAAGGCACCTGTGAACAACAACAGTAACAAAAATTAAATTAGATGATTTATAAACTATCAACTGTGGATGTTGCATAGGTTTAAAGTGTCTTATATACTGTCGGCTATAAGCTTACTGTTGTGACAGAGGAATCTGACTATTGAACTGGGCCTGGCTTTAGTAATTTCAAATATTTGCAATACAAGCTCAGAAAACCACCTGGGTTAATTTTCAAAAAAATTAAGTTGTTCAAATATTTAGGCTATATTTAGTGCAGTACAATGATAACTTTATTGAAGTTCAAAATAAGTTTCTGTATTTTTCCTAAAATGCATCATAAAACTCAATCAATAAACTGGCAATAGAGTGTACAGCGCTGTGTGACGTTTTAGGCACTTTTATACATTTAGGCACTCTGATTGGTCCAAAATTCACACTGCAGCAGGACAGCGAGGCCAAATATACAGTCAGAGTCACAAAAACTATCTTCAGAGACAAGAGGAACAAGGAGTCTTGCAACAGAGGGTTTGGCCCCACAGAGTCCTGCTCTCAACATCATGGAGTCAGTCTGGGATCACATGAGGAACCAAAAGACACTGAGTCAGACTAAATCCACAGAAGAACTGTGGTAGATTCTCCAAGATGCTGGAACAACCTACCTGCCAAGTACATTGAAAACCATGTGCAAGGCTCTTCTAAATATCTATTTAAAGAGATGTATTGATGATTTTTCTTTTTAAATCCAGATGTCATGGTGAAGGACATAACAACAAGAAGACAAATAACCTCACCCTGCTGTTAATTTGGTATTTGTATGAAGTGTCATTACTTACATCTAAAGTACAGTCTTTTAAATCTCACAATTGGTCAACTTCCTAACCACATGTAACTGCAAATCAATGTACAACCTAGGAGGAGACAAGACTGACATGGACTCTACATACAGCATGATGAATGACTTTCACAACACACGGTGGTCAGTGTGCTATAAGCTAACTAACATACGACACTGTTAATACTGACTGCCACATCAGTTGAATAATCAGGCAGACTGCAGGAGGATAATGTTTATAGGGCCTTGGTATTAGTATAATTTATATCACAATTTTCCTGTTCCTCTCCATGCTTTATTCCCAACTAGCCAGCGTTTAGCTCCACGTTTCTAACAGTTAACGTGACTTTTCATTAATGTAAAACTGACTATTAAATCCTTTCAGACATACAGCAAGGTATCAAAATAAATGTACCTCTTTTTGTCGATGTTGTCAAAGCGTTCATGTCACACAGATGAAGTTTATTCTGGCTAACCGGTTAGCATCTCAAATGAAACTGCTAACATCCGGGTGAGATTTCGTTCAGGCACATCAAATTAATTCTATTTCCGGTTCGGAATTCGTCGGGGTCCTGACAGCGCGGATTAGAGAGACAGCCGGTTGTGTTCGCTAACACAATAACGTTTATTTCTTTCCTTTAGACAACTGTAAGCAGTTTTAAACATGTCTGGTAGAGAAGGTGAGACGCCCTTTCATCTGATGGTCATCTTAAAATTCCTGCCAATGTAAAATATATGTTTTACGCGTAATAAACCTCAGTGGAGCGTGTTTCACTGGCTGGATCAGCTAGTTGTTGCTAACGGCTGGTTAACAGAGCGCGAAGCTGACAACCTTTCATCAAACTAAACCAAATAACCTCCACATTAATGCGTTTTGTTTTCGGTCAATATATACACACGAAGGACGATGTATTTATACCATCCACGAATCGTTTGCCATCGTCTGAGGCATTCGTCTTATTGCGTCGTCTAAGTGACTCATAATTTAGCTAGCTGGACAATTTACGAACTAACGATATTTTTATTTTCGCTTGTGTTATTAATAGGCAAACCAAAATTACTAATGAAATGTGAAGCTGTCTTCTTGGCGCTCTTGTTACACTGAATACATATTAGTGCACTGGATACGTATTACATTGGAAAGCAGCTCTCTACAAGTCATGGTGTACCAGTTCGGCAATACTGAAATTGGTTTGTCAAGGGAGTTCGGTGCGGCGTTCTGGTCACACCATTGGGTTGTGTGTAGTATTTCCAGTTGAGCACTTTCAGCAAACTGTGAGCTAACAGAATAATCATAATTTTTTGTGCTCAGGAGGCAAAAAGAAACCACTGAAGGCACCCAAGAAACAGTCCAAGGAAATGGATGAAGTAAGTGTTGTTCTGCTCTCCCAGATTGTACTGTGAATGCAATATAAGTCAATTTGACGATTATATGTTTCGACTAATTGTTTAGTCTACAAAATCTAAGAAAATGAAGAAACAGAAATGACCCTCATATCTTCAAATGTCAGTTGAATACGTGATGAAAAAAGTATGATGAAATAGACCTGATGCTACACGTTTTTGTCTACTGTTTGGTTTCTGGGAATCAATGTTACTGAAATGATTAATTATTTAATCACAAAATAAGTTGTAGTTGTAACCTAAATTTGGTTTAGAGTTTAGTTGAACAATTATAAATGAATTGTGTCTGCAGGATGATATGGCCTTCAAGCAGAAACAGAAGGAAGAACAGAAGGCCATGGATGCACTGAAGGCCAAAGCTTCGGGAAAAGGACCTCTATGTAAGACAAAGGGGTAGATGGGAAACTTTATCATCATAACAAGGGCTGACAAGACTGACAGTTTAGCCAAGAGCCTTATTATGTGAAGAGAAATGTTTTAACAAGATACACTGGTCATATCTGAAAGTGATTTGTTGTTATGATGTGAAAAGTTTTAAATGAAAACAAGAGCTTTCTTGTTATACATATATAGTATACATAGAAAAGGTTGCAGTGGGTTTATGTTAAATGCTCCTTAAATGCCCCGCTGCAATTGGGTCCTTTTAATGATAAAAGGGTAAATTTCACACAGATCTTTCAAATACTGACGTAAACCTACTCAAATTATAGCTGTGCAGTACCCATTATTTTATTTCAATGTGCTGAAGCTCGGAGCATAAAAAACAAAAAATGTGTATCTGTCCAAATACTTACGGTCTGGACTGTAATGTGGTTGTGTCAGTCATTTACACCTCACATGTAATTGTTCATATGAACTCAAAGTTTCTCAAATCTCATATATAGTCTGCCTTTCAGTCAAAAATACAGGAAAAAATCTTTGTTTTATTTTTCATTTGTAAATCTCAAATGTGTGTGACCACTTGTATTAACTGGTCAGATGTTTCATTACCTGTTTTTTTTTCCCCCTCCAGGTGGCAGTGGCATCAAGAAATCGGGCAAGAAGTAAAATCTGAATCTGGTGATGATTTTTGTTTGCTCCCCGGCCTCGCTTCCTGTGTCTGAGATGTTTGTATGCTCACTGGAAGACTCTAGTTTGCTCTGTAAAACACGAACCCTGTCAAACTCAAAACACACCCTGCTTCTACGGCAGTGAAAATGTACAGAAAAAGAGTTGAATAGTGTTCAGGATTTCAGGGACAGGAATATCTGTTACCAGTCAGGCCTGGTACACACATTGTAACTCCCCAATGGCATTTAATTAGAGGTTTCACACTGTGATATTTGTTGTTATGGACACTTTACTCAGTCATACTCACTGACCAAAATTTTCATATCCAGTTTAGAAATGGTCTGCATCTTAGAAATGGAAACCATGAAAAAATCCCAATCTCCGCTGTATCTTGCTTTTTGTCCATGTGAAACTTTATCAGAAACGCAAATCACCCCAAGTTCTTTTTTCTTATTTTTACTTTATTGTAAAGAGGGAGATACCAATAAAGTTTTTGTAATTACTGCTTGTTATTTTAATTCTTTGTTAGTTGGAAAGGAATCTGTCAAGAATCTCAACCATCAAACTGCATTTAAAATAATAGCAAATAAATAAATAGCTTTCTATGTGGTGTTAGAAACATCTTTTAAAAAAAGAATTGAGTGTAAATCCATGAACGCTGAAGAAACCCTGGAGATGAGCCTGTCAGTGACAGATGCCAAGGAGAGGAGGAAAGAAACGCAAGAAGGGGCCTGCTGCAGAGTAATAAGACACCTTTGTTGAGGTTGTGATTAACGATGATTAACACCCCTCACCCCTGACGTGTTTTGGTTTAGTTTGTGTTTATGTGTTAACCTAAATGAACTGAAGCCAAAACTGACCTGTGACTGATCTGTGGACAGTTGGCATGGTAAGACGACCCCAGACCCCCACCAGACATTTGGACTTGTCATAGCAGGTAAAGCACAGGTGAAACAAAGTTCATTAATGATGGCTCAGTTCCATTTAGCTGTGCCAGTGAGCCAGCATGCACAATACCAGACAATACCCTGACACTGTCTCACCTGAATTGAATGTGCTCGTCATTTAAGTTATTAATTGCACCTGTGCTTTCCCTGAAACGACATGCCAAAATACGTGGTGTGAGAATAGACCAATGAAGCGATGCAACGAGAGAGGACCTGCGGGTCGATGTGGTTCAGATAAGGCCTGCCCTATTTGCAGTAGTGGAAGAAGTATTCAGCTCCTGTACTTGGGTGACAGTAGAAATACTGTAATCTAGAAGCACTCCACTACAGGCTAAAGCCCCCTGTTTAACGAAATGTAATTAATTATCATCAAAGTATATTGTATTATTTGATACTATTTTGGTTGTCCATTTGGTACCATTTTTATTAGAGATGGTATACACTACTGAATAGTTCAATAGTAGAGCAATTCACCATATTTGATGAAGTCATCGTATGTTTTGTATGTAACTTTTTATTTGAAAGTTCATTAGTAACGATAAGTGTCAAATTTAGGGCACTGGATGCTTCTTTTCCAATTTGTGTGGAAGGTTAATGTAGGCGTATGGAGTAAATATTAAGTAGGAACTAGTCATTTAAATGATAACATACCACTTCAAACCACTTGATGAGGGTGCTGAAGTTGGGGTTTTTCTTGTAGTTGGGGATGAGGGCAGACTGTACTCCCTTCCCGGCTATCTTGACCACAGGCTTAGCAAAGGTTCTGCCCATGAAGTCAGCTTTGTCCTGGAAGCATACAATGGTTAAATCCTTAAAAGTCCACAACATAAAACAGCTGGTTTGAATATCTGAAAGTCTTTTTAGTCTAATGAACCCAGTCCATTAGTATTTAAATTGCAGTGGCTAATTATGTGATTCGTCCAATCAGCAGGAAGAAACATGGCACGAGATGCACATGTTTCTAGATGCAAAGACTATAGATAAAAAAAAACACTGAAGATAAAAGAGACCAAAAGAAAAAAATAAACAAAAGCACGAGCCCTAAAATAACCAGTGAACTGCAAAACAGTAACATTTATGTATATAAATGTAAATGTATATTTGTATATTTATGTAAATAAATATATATATGCCATTAAATCTCTCTTGCAGTTGGTAGTTATAAAGAGTCCAAATTCTCTGTTGGTCACAGACAAAAAGCACAAAAGTTTCACTTAAAGGAGACTATTGTTCCCCAGCTTCAGATTCAACCTGCTGTAGTCATAGACTGTATATAAAAATGGACTTAATCTCCGGGGCTGAAAAGTGAAGCCAACGCGGAAGTGCCTTAATGTGCAATATCACCGCGGTTCCGCTGGGGGCGGGCTCCAAAAACTCTGGTTCCAATACACACTCATTATAAAAACACCAACTTCTCTCATGAAATACTCAGTCGATAAATTTTTTCCGGAAATCATTACTGTGTGATGGGCTAAATTCACACTTCTTGTTCAGTGTTCTGGTGGTCCATCTGAAAATAATCACCAAATTAATTAAGTATTAGGCATTAAAAACAGGTGTTTTGGGGGCGTGGCTGTTTGATCGATATACCTGGTCTGCAATGATTGATCAGATGGCGCAGCAGGCCGGGAGGTCGATCACCGGAGGATCAGTCACCGGAGGAGAGTTTGAGTCGTGAGCGTTTCGTATTGAATCAGTTGTGTTCAATATTATTTTTCTCAGTATTTGTCCGTGGAAGAATAATTGAGCACTGGCAGTTTTGCTCTTAGTTATTTAGTTTGAATGAGTTTTCGGTTCACAGTAATTATGGCTCATTCTTCGTCTCTAACAAACTGGAGAGATGATGACGATATTCAGTTTTTTTCGGTAAGTAAATGTTTCTTTTCCGAACGTCCTACAGTTTTAATGTGTATGATGCTAGTAAAAAAGCTAGCTCGTTTTTTCCCTACGTGCTTTGACCGGAGAACGGAGACAGTTAACACTTTGCTAACCTAGCTAGCTAGCTAGGTTATCCGCTAGGTAGCGGATAACTGAGTATTTGTTATGCTAACCGTAACATGTTGGTCCCAAACATGTAAACACTTATTTTCTGTCTCCTCTTATCGCTGGTATCGTATTGAGTACAATACACAATGTATACTAGAACATTATGTTGTGGGGGTTTGTCATTTAATACTGTAAATTTATACACAGGAGTCCTCAACTGAAGCAGGTGGTCATGCACCTGTCCTGACAGGTGGTATATGTGTGTGATTAATTGTGATCCACCATGTCTGAACTAAAGTGTTTGTCTTTTACTGTCATTCAAAGGAATCCACACTGAAAACTGAATGACTGGTGCCACAGAAGGAGGACCTCATGTATGGACGAAGGAGGCTGCACGGACATCCTTAGTTCTCAAATGGGCTGTGATGGTGATGATGGTGGTGATGATGATGCCAGAAAACCACTTCAGTTCAGCTTCCTCTGATGAGAGAAGAGACCAGCTGTTTAGACATTTGATGTCACTTCCTCTTTGTGATGTCCGTTAAAAGAAACAGTATATTGTTTATAGACAAAATATGTTAGTGTGACGGGGCGGTAAATCATTTTTACAAAAAAGTATTATTTGATTAAAAATGAATATGTCATGTAAATAGGGACACTCATATAATCCTCACAATAATAAAGATTTGATAAGAAACATTACATTTATTGGTGATATTTTAGATACAAATGTCAAGTTGTTTCATATGAACATGTGAAAATTGCCATGTTCTCAGGAAAAATGGCTAAAAAATAGTATGTTAGTCTTTGTAAGTAGTATTTTCTCATTTAACATCATGGCAATAGTACTTGACTTAATGGTTTTAAGATTTGGAAACACACTTTTGCACCTTTTTGTGCCATATACATCTCATCTAATGTTGCAGACCCAAATGGCACCTGCTTCACTGAATGATCTATCATCTAGATGGAGATATAGTGGTATAGCTTTATTGCACATCAACTTCTGTAAGTGCATATACGTGTGTATACATGTCTTGCTATGGTTGGGACAAATTTGTGTTTGAAACCATCAGTGTGAGGTTATTGTGGCCAGTCGTGACAGCTTCAAAAGGCTTTTTGAGGGACACCCGCAGTGACCAAGGTCAGTGTCAGGATAAGTCTCTAGACATGAATAAAACTGAAAGTAACGTCTTTTGTACAGATTGAAACGTGAGGAATGAAGTACACGCACAGAGCAGCGGCCACATTCAAAAGTTCTCCAGGGATGTTCAAGTACTTTTAATGTTATCCTCTACCGGCACAATCTTCTGTAATTATGTCATCAGTTCTGCTCTTTTTTAACTTTCTGCATGATATAAAAATATGTTCACCTGGATTTTAAAGTGTGTTTTGTCTATGCTAATCAGCCTGCACGAACTTCGTAATGGGATTGGTCGGAGGAGAGAGGAGGAGCCTCCAACTCCACAGCAGGCTTCTCCTATTGGTGCGGCAATGATCATGTGAGTCCTCACTGCAGCTGCAACCGTTTAAGCATCAGAGGAAGAGAGTTTAAGAGCCCGGCCACACATCATTAGTGGCGGCTGACATGATAGGCAGCTCGCCTCTACCGCCTTTGTGGACATTTGTGTGTAATTTGTGATTTGGTTTTAGATGCTGGTAGTGATTGTTGGGGACTGGACTAGGTTTAAAATTCTGATTGTTAACACCTGGTTTTATGTTGCTTCTCCTTTCCCCTAGCTGGATCATAACCTAAAGACTGGGAAGACGTTGTGCCATGACTACTTTTATATGCGGACGCTGTGAACTGAAACCTGGCTCTGTGAGCAGTCAGTAAGTGAAATACTCCGTAAGTAAAATTTCCCGGGCTGTTTTATCTTCTTTTCTTGCAGAAATCAACTGCCTGATACTGGATGTAAGTCCCACAGTGTCGGAGGTTTTCCTTTCTCAGCAAAGTGGTTCTACAAAGGGTTTATATCTTGATGCTTCATGTGAACAGTGCCACATCTACTGGCCTGAATGCAAAATGGGCAAAATACAAATGTTTGTACATCACAAATTGAATGTAAGTATAAGGGAAAAGCATGATTGTATTTTATATTCCAAGCATAGATTTATATACTGTCAAAGCAAATCAAAATGTTTTGTATGCATCAAATGTGTCAATATCGTTCAAGTTAAGCTCAATGTCTTTGTTTTAACTTAAGTGTCAAAACTAAGTTAGTTTGCAATGTGGGCAAAGAACATGTAGCTTTACTTTTAAATTGCCAGAACATTAATTTAAAAAGTTGAAAATGAATTAACACTATCAACAGTGTGTGAAGCAGCCACAGTGACGATGTTATGATCAAGACCTCCATCTGTTCTTTTTCAGTTATCTACTGAAATGAGCATGGTAACCAGCCAGCACCGACCTTCCCTGTGTTGTGATACCATTTTGTGACACTAGAGGCTGTGTGAGTCGGTGGCGCGTCAAGTCTGCCCTCAGTCCCACGAAGAACAACTTCCAGGAAAAGCGTGAAGTTAGCATCACAGAAACGCAGGAATGGCTGAACCTCCTAAAAGGTAATAC